GATCGGATTGAAAGGGGTGGTTTACTCCTTTTGTAATCCGATCGAGAGAACATGTAAACACTTGATCGTATTGAAAACCGAAACTGAAAGGACTGCGCATGTGCAATGAAGTTAAATAAACGTAATGACGTATGACGCGCTGAACGAGCTGTTTTTCCTGTTGAATAAAGTGTCATATTAATAAGTTTCCCGTCATTTTAAAATTCTCATTTCACTCGCGCGTCTGTTAGGTGAAGCAGGACAACGTCCCATCAGTCCTTGTTTTGGATTCTCATCCACAGACGACTGGTTTTGGCCGCGTGGAGGGGCATTTTTATTGCGTGATCAGTAAGCAGCACGGCAAAACTGTCAATATGCTCTAAATTTTGACCAGAGACGAATTAATATTACGTCTGCTGTTTAAAACAAATAAAGAACCAATAGAGGAGAATATTTATGCGTGAACAGCGGGAAACTCTGTATATTCGTGCAGTGTGCGCATGTCAAAAAATCAGATCGGATTTGAAACGTGTGACATATAAACGCGCACATTAACCCGATTACTTTATTTATCGTTCATGTAAACACCGTGTTCGAATTCATCAATCGGATTGATTTAATTCCGATTGAACCATGTAAACGCAGCTACTGTCATTCGTCTATTACACAAAAGCAACAAGTGTAAACGGTAAGGGTGTCACGATTTCGATTTTTAATTCACAATCTCGAACTTCGAATTAAAAAATGGAATCATCGATGCTGCCACGCCCCCATGTCACGTCCGGTCGGCGGAAAAAACACGCGTGTTGAAGTGCTGCGAGTCTATGGCCACTCCTCTAACTTAGCTACAGCCATTCAAAAGATAGCATGGCAACTGCAGATGCAGGAGACCAATCGACAGAACTTGAACCCCCTCCTCTTTCATTGAAGTCGCAGGTGTGGAAGTTTTTGGGATTTCCAGTGAGTTATGTTGACAACGTTCGCGCTTCAAAAAAGCCACAGTTTGCAGACATCCCAAGTCTCGCGGAAGTTCCGGGAGTCTCCCGCATATTGATAGCGGCTCCCTGATCCACGCAAATTAGTTAAAATCTCCCGGAATCTAGAGTGAGCGAGCAAGAGCGCGCATGCGAGACAGAAAAACTGTGCTCCAAACCGTATAGCGCGCACGGCAGAGAGAGAGAGAGAGAGAGAGAGAGAGACCTTGCGTGTGTGCCTCATGAAGCGCATGTAAGACAGAGAGCATCCTGATTGGCCGGTTTCGGCTTTAAATAAAATAAATGTAAAAATCGAGAATCGAATCTAACTGTGACCTTAGAATCGAAAATGTAATCGAATCGAGGATTTGGAGAATCGTGACACCCCTAGTAAACAGTCCTACTCGACCCATTCCGAGCGGGATTCGAACCGGCGTCTCCGGCATAGGAGGCGGGCGCACGAACAAGGATGCTAAATACAGCAGTTTCAAGCATCAGTCGCCAGCACACCTCTTGAGACCAGGGGAGTGAGGTTTATACACCCAGCTCCTACTAGCTTGCCTCCGTTACACTCACCCCCCTAAACCTCACTCCCACCCGGGTCACGGCACCAAATACAACCGGCTCCAAGCGGGTTTCGAACCTGCGTCTTTGGCATGGGAGGCGGGCGCACTAACAAGGACGCTAAAGACCGCAGTTTCAGTCGCTTTTTGAGGCTAGGGGAGTGAGGTTTACATGCACAGGCTTTTACTAGCTTGCCTCCGTTACACAAGCACAACAAAAATATGAAATAAAAACTATTTACAGGTATTAGCATAGGCAGAGCGTGTGTAAGGCTGGGCAAGGTTTTAGAGGGAAAAGCTGCCCATAACTGCTCTTCTAGGATCAATTTTCTCCGTATAGCATATTGGCGAAACAGATTTGGCAAGTGATCAAGTGTGTATCTCGTTGGAACGACACGAGGATGAGTAAATCACAAAAAAGGTTAACTATTCCTTTAAATCTTGCAATTTTTTTTTAACGAAAATAACGGCAGTTAGCGCCAATTTTACCCACTAGCTTCAGTGTAAGTGAAAAGCATCAGTGGTGAAATCGGCTCTTTTTCCATCAGCAATTTCTTCTCTTTACCAAACGCTGACAGTTGTGGTGAAAGAGATCCTGTTGTCCGAGACGGCATCAATATTTACAGCTCCCGGTGTCTCGTGCGGCGAGGGGAGCTGTCGGACATCACACACTGGAACATGATAGCACAGCTGAGTCGAGATCTGGCGACAAACATGAGGCAATGTCTGCGTTCACTATACGACTGACGGAATAAATATCCATCCAAAATCTGCATGACGAAGATGGGAAATGATAGCCAAGATATCTACCTTCACTGCCACTAAAGTTTATTTAGAAATTAATAAAACATTTGACAAATCTGTTTTAAATTATGTACAATCACAATTGTTAGATTTTCATTTTAATTTTAGTATTAGTAGTAATTTTTTTATTATTTCTATTTAGCTTTAATTTGTTCCTATTTCAGTTTGAGTTATTTTAGTACTTCAAATAAAACTTTATTTCAGTAACTTCATTTAACTTCAGTAAGTTGCCACATTTCTAATTTTCAAGTTTAAGTTTTCAAAATCATTTGTTAATGGTTTTAATTTTGCTACAAAGGCACTGGCTAAGCAGAATGGAACGAGCGTAAACAGCCTTCAGGTATTATCAGAATGATTGATATTCAAATGGTAAGCAAGCGCTGCTTTGTTTATGGTTTGTATTGCTTCAGTCCTATAGTTTCAGTTTCTCTTTTGAATGATGAATACAGACTATTGATACCTGCTGCTATAGACAGTTGATATAGGCGCAGAACGCACATGCTAGGCTTTCGTCGCCGCCAGTTCTTACGTCAGCTTGGTGTATCCCGGTCTTAATGGCGTAAACCTCAGAGGCCAGAAACAGAATCCAGTCTCTAAGAACCGTCCAGCAATTCAATCCTCTGCTCTGCTGGGCAACCGGAAAAAAAGCTCGACACGGCCCTGCAAATGCTGAGATACCGTACAACAGATCTCCAGTACCGGAAAACGGAAGGAAACAGAACTACGGACAACAACAACATACTAAACAAACTGAGACTTTTACCTTCTGCTTCTCACATTTTTATACTGAGAAAAACACCTCAATAACAACACATATCTCCATTAGAGTCTCAGAATAGATCACAATATTGTCTCAAAATGTACTCAGATTTGCCAGCAATTACTGTGTTTTAGCTATTCATTATGGAAATGAACAGCTTTCATTTTATGGAAAACACAATTTTATATATATTTTTAAAATTTTTAATATTTACATCAGGACACGTTATGGTAATGAATGGCCGTTTACTTTATGGAAAACATCATTTTATTTTATTTTTAATTTTAGATTTTATATGTATACATCTTGACAAATTATGGTAATGAATAGCTTTCATTTTTTTTATGGAAAATGTGATTTTATATTTTTTAATTTTATATGTATACATCTAGACACATTATGATAATGAATAGCCTTTTCTTTATGCACAATATAGCCTAAATATATTTAAATATTTTATAATAAGTTTTCGAATGACCTGGTTATGTTTCCATGAGATTCACCCATATACTTCCATATTACTGGGCTTTATCAAGACGAGTTAGACCCACAGGTTTGTGTGAGTGAGGTGCATGGGGGAACAGCATAACTCTGAAGCGGGACGGTGTGTGACAGGTAACACTCCACGTGAACCTGCTGCATCACCATCTGTGCTCAAGGGAACACGAGAGCATTTCTATTGTCCTTCTGCACAAAGAGCTGCGCTGCCGGCCAGCCTGGACCTGGACGCAACACTTTTACTACACTGTACTCATGCAGACAAAACAACACACACAATAAAGAGGTCGCTGTTTAATTGCTCAGGGAGTTCTCATTTAAGTATCAACAAATTCTGAAACTATACAAGGAATACACCGAATGTGGGATTACTGAGGTTGTTTTCTCATGAGAAACATCTGAAGCAGGCGATTTAAACAAAGATAAAGAAAATAAAAAAATATCTTAGTGATTTGATCAAATTCGGGGAAATATGGAAACATGATAACACGATTTTCCTTTTTGTAATAACCACAACAAGATTGAAAGCATTCACAAAGTTGTTTCATACAAAGCTGTTGATGTGTTTTTCCCTTGTAAAACTATATGAAAAGGTGCTGATGTTGAAATGAGGGGTGATGCAATGTCATCGACCAGTTGACCATGTGAATCACAACCAGTTCTCATTTAGTTCAGGTTCTGTAAGCGATTTCAGCCATTTTGCTAACATTTTGCTTTCACTGTCAAAATTTACAAAAAACTGTTAATAAAATTTATATAAAAATTTTTAAATAAAAAAGGGAACTCTTAACTGCTAGTGACAATAATATTATGTGTATGTATGTATGTATGTATATATATATATATATATATAATATTATTGTATATATATATATATATATAACATTTAATGTCATTAAATAAAAATATAACAATTTGAAAAATACTCTAAAAACACTTTTACTGATTTTTTATAAATAAAAAGTAGCCTATTTAAAATTACCTTATAATTAGATTTTTTTATTATAATAATAATATATATAAAATTCATATACTTTTGTAATAAAAGTATATTGTATTAAAACTGTTAAAAATTATGCTTAAGTAAAAGACATAATGGTCGCCAAATGTCATCCCATTCTGTGTAAAAAAAAATCTTTTATTTTATTTTATTTTATTTACAGTGTAACTTTAACCACAAACACACACACTCTCCAAAAACCCACCCTAAAAAGACATGTAGAGTACGCAAAGATTGTTTCTGGTTGGCTAAAAAAAGGAGCCTTCAATGTCCTTTCTACCTTTGCAAGGCTCGTTTTATGTGTGCTACTCCAAAGACTATTCATTTATATTTATATAATAATAGCAATCGCTTACAGCACCTTTAATGTGAAATTATCTAAGATAAATATCAAAACATAGACAAGAAAAAAGGATTCTGACCACTTTATCCTCCTGTTGCAATTCCACAGAGGGAGGAAAAGCAAGAGAGAAAGACAAGGGGGGAAAAGAAGAGGGGAGAACAACTGAGTGACATTCAGACACACATAAAGAGATGTTCATGTACAACAGCAGCAAATCACATCGCCGCTTATTACTCTGAGCAAAGTCATTTAAAAGCACCAAGACTGCGCTGGGAGAGAGACATCAAAAGGTTAGATAAGCAGTTTCTGTCCTGATACATCCATCGCCTCGGTCAAAACAGAGGGAGTATCTCCCTCTAGTGGCCATTGTGTTAACTGCTCGATCCTAAGCAGCCACCGAGAAAAATCAAACGTGTTACAATGAGTTGACTGATTTCTGTATGAAATTTCATAATTAAAAGGTCAAGCATTCACAATAAAACATAACTTTTAGCATATATAAACACTGTCACATTTCTCAAAAACCCTTTATCTCTCCTGTAAATATTGTATATGCTGAGAATGCTAGGCCTACTCACACTATTTTTGCAGTATGCATACTAAGTACAGTATGTACATTTTCTGTGCAGTATACTACCGAAACTCATGAATACTGTATCCCACAATGCAATGCACACAGCTTGACCTTCCATTTTCAAAATGATATCAAATGCAGCTTTTAACATCATCTTGACTTATGATCGGATCACATATTACACCGAATTACATATTTTTGCTCAGTTTGTGCTTCTGAATAGATCACCATTTTGGTGGTGATGTGTTTTGTGGGCGGAGCTTACATGCTGGCAGAAATCGACAGCTCTACTTGTCTGACAGTGACAAGTAGACGTCTATAGACCTTATGTGCCAGAGAACAAGGGTCATCTTTAAATTTTCAGTTTGAACTTCCATTTTTGTGGTAGCTCTGTATATTTCTATGACGTCACTGTCGAAGAGTAATTAGCTGGTGAAGTGGATTTGCTTATTTTAGAGTTATTAGCATTGTAATGTTTGAAGCAGATGTCATAAATGTCAGTAGACGGGGAAGATTTTAAAAGGAGGGGTTCATTCATTAATCCGTTAGATCTTACCTTCATGCTGTGGAAATACAAACCACATAGAACATAATGGGCGCTGTGCTGAACAGAGGCGGGGCTACATAAGGTCTATAGAAGCTATAAAAATGAAGACCATCTTTTTTTGCATTCCGATTCTGACATCCAAAGGTACAAGACATATTTTTTCCCCTTATTCCGTGGGTCTTGTCCATTTTCCTCCACTTGTTATCACTGCCACTCGTTTTTCTGCCACCATAGTGCACTGCAGTGACATAACTGTGACGTCCTCTGTCAAATGGTCTATTGCATTCATGCCATGTCATAATTACCGTAACTAGGGGTGGTTATAGACCGGTTTTAGGGGGCTTCCTGATCATTTACTCAGCCCCATGTCATCCAAGATGTTCATGTCTTTCATTTTTCAGTCGAAAATAAATGAAGGTTTTTAGGAAAACATTAAATTTTTTCTCCATATAGTGGACTTCAATGGTTATCAACGGGTTGAAGGTCCAAATTGCAGTTTCAGTGCAGCTTCAAAGGGCTCTACGTAATAAGGGTCTTATCTAGCGAAACGATCTGTCATTTTCTAAAAAAAAAACAATAAAAATGTATATAGGCCTACTTTTTAACCACAAATGCTCGTCTTGCACGTCCACGACTTCACGCATTACGTAATCACGTTGGAAAGGTCAGGCGGAAGCACCGAGTTTTATTTTGTGTTTTATTTTGTTATTCTTGTACTTGTACAGGACTTTGGGGTAGTAGTGATTGCTTGTATATGTGCTTTAGAAATAATTAAACCTTGACCTTGAGCCAGTGTTTAAAAAGAGAATGTGCAAAGACTAAGTCAAATGCCCTTAACAAAAAAAAAGGTACAATTTTGATGTTGGAGGAGAACATTTGTTTTTCGTACTTTCGCGTGACCTTTCCAACGTGACTACGCAATGCGTGAAGTTGTGGACGTACATCGCAGAGCTAGTGCAAGAAAAGCATTTGTGGTTAAAAAGCATATCATTATTCAATTTTTTCTGAAAACGACCGATCGTTTCGCTAGATAAGACCTTTATTCCTTGGCTGGGATCGTGTCGAGCCTTTGAAGCTGCATTGAAACTGCAATTTAGACCTTCAACCTGTTGGTTCCCGTTGAAGTCCATTATATGGAGAAAAATCCCTGGAATGTTTTCCTCAAAAACTTTAATTTCTTTTCGACTGAAGAAAGAAAGACATGAATATCTTGGATGACATGGGGGTGAGTAAATTATCAGGAAATTGTAATTCTGGAGTGAACTAATCTTTTAAGTCTTATCATTCTAAACATTCAAGTGATTTAAAGCCATCTAAGCGCGAGACACTGTCAAAGTAACTTCATTCAAATTCATTCATTTCAACTTTAATACTTGTTAATAATAATATGATGACAAATTTCTGTTAGTCAAACAGTAGCCTAAACGTGTACCGATATTACCTGTACTGCAGAAAGACTGGTACCATTGTTTTTAAGTATTAGTAGGGTTTAAGTACTTAAGTACTAGTAGGGTACTTTTGACTTCTTATAATATAGTGGTGCCAATTTACAAAGAGGCACCACTTAGACAATGGTCTCTTGCTACACATGAAGATCAAATCCTAGAACCGCCCCTGACTGTAACGATTCTGGGATGCGTTTCCCAAAAGTATCGTAAGCCTAAGTAGATCGCACAGAGCCATTTCCACCAATGATCTCTACGATCAACTTAGCTCACGATGCCTTTGAGAAATGCAGTCCTGAACTGTAAAAAACCTGTAATTACAACTTGTAAACTTTTTCTGGTTTTCAATCTTTCTGAGAGCAACTATTTGTTCCACGTGGCCGCAGTACCAGATTTAAAGGAACACTCCGACTTTTTGGGACTTTAGCCTATTCACCTTATCCCCCAGAGTTAGATAAGTCCATACATACCTTTTTCATCTCCGTGCGTGCTATAAGTCTGTTTGACGCACCCACCGCTAGCCTAGCTTAGCACAAAGACTGGATGTAAACGGTTGCAGCTAGCATACTAATCCAAATAAGTGACAAAATAAGTCCCAGTATAAATACTGGGAACTATATTCTCTGAAGGCGAAGCACTGCTACTTGGGCGGAGTGATAACCGCAGCACCTGAGACGTACCGTACCCAAACTCTGAACAAACTCTCTGCTCCTCACCACGGCGCGTCTCAGGTGCTGCGGTTATCACTCCGCCCAAGTAGCAGTGCTTCGCCTTCAGAGAATATAGTTCCCAGTATTTATACGGTTAAAATATGTCTGTCTCATGTGACTTTGTTTTTTGTACACTCTGTGACTATACAAATCACAACATGTAAATAGGAAAATGTTTGCGCTATTTTGTCACTTATTTGGATTAGTATGCTAGCTGCAACCGTTTACATCCAGTCTTTGTGCTAAGCTAGGCTAGCGGTGGGTGCGTCAAACAGACTTAAAGCACGCACGGAGATGAAAAAGGTATGTATGGACTTATCTAACTCTGGGGGATAAGGTGAATAGGCTAAAGTCCCAAAAAGTCGGAGTGTTCCTTTAAAGTGTGTTCGACTCGGAGCGGCGCATTGCAGACCGATCGGTGTATGACATCAAAGTACCGCCGAAAACATACACAGCTTTTTTAATCACGACATGCCGTGAACACAGCATAAAATTGAGATGTTTTTCCTCCTCGAGTTTGAGCTTCCAATTCTCCTTTATCATACTATATAAGCCAGATGTATCAAATATGATACTCTACAATTTTTTTTATTTTTATTTTTTATCTAAATGTTCAATATACTTCCATTTAAAAAAAAAAAAATCTGACCATCATCACATATGTCAAGCTTTACAGGGTTAAAAATGCAAACTAACCATATATTTTTCTAAGATGATAACGAGACACTCGCTGGTTAAACATGCAGCCTAATAAGGTCATGTCGCATCATTGTAGCATACTACCGTTTGCAACGTTTCACACTCCACAAGTTATTTATAAAAAATACTAGGCAGTGTATGGCGCAAAAGTGCAACTAGTATGTGGTGAGCAACTAGTATTCTATTCTGAACACATCACTGCACTATCAGTGCTTGTGTGTACGTCTGTGTTACGGCTGTACCTTGTTGGAGCGTAGTGAAACTCTTCCTCCACAGCGAGCACAGAACTTGGTTTGGCAATAAGAACAGAGGTGGCCACAGCCGTCGGCAAACTTGGTTTTATGGCAGATTCCGCAGATGGGGGCGTCAGTCTTCTGCTCCGGGGTGGTCTGTGCCTCATCCCCCATCTTCTTTACCTGATCCTTATACATTTCAAATTGCTGGTGCAATTTCCTGCGGGGAACAGAACACAGCCAATCAGAACACGGCAGGAAAACATGTTACAAGTTTAAAGCTGTTAGTTTACCCAAAAATGAAAATTCTGTCATCATTTACTCACCCTCATGTCGTTCCGAACCCGTAAGACTGTCTTGATCTTTTTAATGAAATCTGAGAGCTTTCTGTCCCTCCATCTACGCAAATGACACTTTGACGCTTCAAAACGTTCATTAACTAATCCATATTAATTGAGCGGTTTAGTCAAAATATTCTGAAGAGACTCGATCACTTTATATGATGAATAGATTTAATTTAGGCTTTTATTCACATTTAAACATTGATCAATGAACATAAATGGAAGCTCAAACGTGATGCGTAACTCGAGAGTGAACCTCATTGGTTCCCACACGTCAAGCGAACATGATTGAGCTTCCGTTTACCATAACTGATGTGTGAGTTGATGAATGTTTATATGTGAATAAAAGCCTAAATTCAATCTGTTCATCACATAAAGCAATCGAGTCTCTTCAGAAAATTGACTAAACCGCTCAATTCATATGGATTAGTTTTACGATCTCTTTATGAACTTTTTGAAGAGTCAAAGTTGTAGTTGCGTAGCTGTCAATGGAGGGACAGAAAGCTCTCAGATTTCATCAAAAAAATCTTCATTTGTGTTCTGAAGATGAACGAAAGTCTTACAGGTTTGGAACGACACGAAGGCGAGTTATTAATGACAGAATTTTCATTTTTGGGTGAACTAACCCTTTAAACATTATAAGAAACAGGACACAGAGTTTGCTCTTTCATAGCTCATGAGACTTGTTTCATTCAAATATCAATTTATTTCAGTTATTTATCCTAAAATGCTAAAAGAAAAATCTAAAAACAAGACACAAGTGAGACAATTACTGGCATACAGTTAAATACGAGCTATAAAACTAACATTTTATTTTTAAATTAACATTTTTATTCAGCAAGGATTCATTTAATGGACAGTATAAATACATTTATAATGTTGCAAAAGGTTTATATTTCAAATAAATCTTACATTAATATATGAAGCAGCACAACTGTTTTCAACATTGATTATAATAAGCAATATTTCTAAAGGATCACGTGACACTGAAGAATTCAGCTTTACCATCACAGGAAAAAAATGATATCTTTCAAATATATTCAAATCGAAAACAGTTATTTTTAGTTGTAATAATATTTCACAACATATTTTGATAAATGCAGCCTTGGTGACCATTAGAGACTTAAAAAAAAACTAAATGCACCGACCCCGTACATTTCAAAAAGTATTTTAAAATAATTTCCTACATGAAAAATTATGTATATATATTTTTTTTACCCATATACAATATATATATATATTTTTTAATATAAATCCTGAAAACAGGCATATTGTTCTGAAAGAAAAGCCACATTCACAATGAGATATCTGTAGAATCACTATAGCCTAATGGTGTTTTGTTGGTTGTCATGAAGCTCTGATTAAAGGACAAGTTCGGTATTTTACACTTAAAGCCCTGTTTCAAGATCGTTTCTGATGAAATAGAACGGTTAAGATTAAAATTTGGACACATGCTGCTGTCCCGAGAAATTTCGGTTTCTGTGGTTGCACCCCCCCCACCTCCACAATGGTTACCGAAAATACCGAACTTGTCCTTCAAACTCTCTATAGTCTATAGTGACTGCTGGAGGTGTCAGACAGACACTCAACACTGACGAGAACTTTCTGTTCTTCCCTTTACTTCATCAGCAGTTAAAGCATCATGTGCAGCCTACAAACTATTTGTGGCTAAACGCTTTCAATCCAGATGACAAAGATAACACATCAGGCTCACGTGCATCACCTCATATTGACTGCAACAGCTGTAGACATGTCAGTACTTATGAGCTACAGTAGCACATGCGATAGTTCCCGCTACAAAAAATGATCATTTATCAAGATACATATCAACTTGATCTTGAGCTAGCAGATCAGCTTGAGGGATTTTTATTTTAGGGTGACGTTCAATCATGTACCCACTCATTACCGTAAGAGAGCGGAGGGGGTCAAAGGCTTGAGACAGACCCTGAAACGCTAGCTGAATGCATGCATGATGCACATGCATTTTGTATGTCGCCTGTCAATCAACCGTAGTCGTGGAAACCAAACACTGGGGGCTAACGCCATAAGCTGCCTATTAGAGGAGGTTTGGTCCCACATCTGCCCCTGCAACATTCATCAGCAGGCTGAATTATTGAGCACACTGATCTCTTTACTACGGCAGAACGCCTGGGTGTTACCCAGAATTCCCCTGCTGGCCACCTCCCACCAAACATGAGCACATTCTCACGCTAATCACTGGCTCTGACAGGAGAGTTTGAATACTTAATGCTAAGGAGGTAGTTTCCCAAATTTCACTGAACTTTTGTCTTTTTGACTTCAGCATAAACAAAATTGTAAAAAAAAAAAAAAAAAAAAAAAAAATGTTGACGACCCATGCTTGATTCACATTAGTCACTATAATAGACTTGGTCGGTGTCGTGTCATAGCTGGGGGTGTGGCTTGGGGCGGAGTCAACGTGGGGGAAACCAATGAAAAGAGTTGCGTTAACCCAGTATGGCTTACGTAGAATCACTTCTGCCGCTCGACAGAGCAAGATGCATAGAAAAACTGAGCCGTATTCTCTGACAGTATCTGTGACTGGACAAACGAACCAATGGAATTGCCAGATATGTAATTTTCTCGTCAAAATGCATGCTGCTCCCCCAAATATTACACGACAATACCTACTTCACTTCATACATCACCCAGTCTTTCGATGAAGAAGTTTATTCAGTGTTCCTGAATTTAATGGATTTAGAATATGTATTACATTTAACGTTTTAAAATTATCATAAAACTTGGATATATGCGCAGAGTATAATTTACCGCAGTAGGCTACCACGTTTAACAAACATTTGTCAAAAGCCAGTTATTGATGAGCTGATATTGATGAGTTATTGTTTGGCATCAATTACACAGGTTTAGATCAAGTTTAGACATCCGTCAATTTTCTGTTGTCTTGCATGCATGTAGCTTTATTTGTTAATTTATTCGTTTTTCTTTACAGCCATGCATGAATGAATTCCTAGTTTCTATGGGTTTCAGCATTTGCATTTTACGTTTTACGTATTTTAAGTTTTTGTGGCCGTTCCCAGTTATGCCAACTAAATCTATACCTGGAGAAAGCCATTAGCATTCCCATTTATCACAATGGCAAATTTAGCCCGTTTCACGCTTTTAAGAGCTACAAAATATTGGTCACTGGTACTAGTATAGCCTACTATTCTTCTACTATAATAAAAATACTGGAGATACATGTCAGAATAAGCTGCTAGTTTTGACCAGGGTTATGAACTAAAACTATTAATAACATTGATAGCTGCAAAATTATTTTTAAAAAAAACTAAAAAAACAAATTGTCAACCCACTTAAATAAGTTTAAGTTGAAGCACAAAACTTACTAACTGTAAATAATAATAAAAATAAATACAATTTAAATTAAAAAAATACACCTAACGAGTAGCATTTAAAGAAATGTATAAAAGTTTTGACCAGGATTACTATTAAAAACATTGTTAGCTGCAATAAAAAAAAAAAAACACTGCATTGGAATGGCAACTCTACGAAAAAAGTTTAAGTTGAAGGACTGAAATTACTAACTGTGAAGAATAAAAAAAATAAAAATAAAACTGAAATAAAAAAATAAACCCTAAAGAGTAATATTTAAAAAAAGGCAGAAGCACATAACACAAATACTAAAAATGTAAGTAAAATTTAAATATAAAAATAAAGGTTAATTCAAAATTTGAATTCAAACCGTAACATTATATAAATAAACTATAACATTGGTTTTTACTGTCCTTCAATGGAAAAAAAAAAAGTCTTTTTACAAACAGGTTCTAACTTTTTAAAGCTAACTAGCCAACCCTGACAGCCTGAACTCCACCAGACATCATTTCTGTTTAAGTCAGATACTTTTCACCCCTCTGGGATCAAGTCACACCAATGAGCAGGTCTGCTTTCAACGACCCCTTGACCTCTGCCCTCTCACCCTCAGAACATGTGGATATACAGTACCACTCACTGTCTGACCCCATGCTCCGCTCTCAGATACTCGTCACATATCCTTTAACAAAATGCAATATTATTTTTTAGTCTGTGACACGAGACAGTCTTCCGTCAGAAAGAAAGATCATACTGTATGTGTTTGAATTGACACGATGACGAACTTTCTATTTAACACTCGCATATACAGCCGGCTCCAGACAGCAGTCAGGTGCATGATGGGAAGCCTGGAGGAGCTCCAGAGGTCTGACAGGTGCGCTGGCTCAGGTAGCATTACAGACAGCTGGAGAGCATAACCCATAATATAACCATACGCCATTCTTCACGTCTCATCTGACACACAGCAGATAGAGAAGTCAAAGAAACACGAGCCAGTACACTGATACGGACTCCCTTTATGAGTGACACCGTGGCCACCTGAAGACCTGCGCTTTACCCGTTTAAGCTACTAATAAATTTGTAGTCGACTTCAGTGTAATACAAAACCCATGCTTAATGCAGGTCTCTAATGCAGATCTCGTAATCAAATCGAATTGATGGACCATACTGATCAAAACGGGCTGTTATTTAAGATAAAACTAATAGTGAAATAAGGACTGTCATTTCATTTATTTAGGGCTTTATCGCATTAATTCAGCATAATTAATTGTAAAGAAAAACATAATAAAAATAAGTAAATTTCTCATGCCCACTGACCTGTATGCAAGTCATTTTTCTATCATCTGAGCAACTTAAGATATTCAAAGCTTTCATTTCTCATTACAATAAAATGGAATTAAATTAAATGAAGTTTTATGTAAACAAAGTTCGGGAGGAGCATGTTCAGGTAATCATCCAATCAGCGCAAGAAGAAGCCAGTATAAATAAAGCCTTCCCTTACCTCCTGTCTCATGACTAATTTCTCAGCATCCCACCACCACCCCTTCACCCCACATTCGGCTGGGTCCGCTCATAGTTACCTATGATCTCTAAAGTTATGGGGGGAGTACTCTGGGGTCGGGCCGAATTCTGAGCTCGGAGCCCTCCCCCCGGACACCAAGCCAAATACGCATTATAATATTACATCTGATTTCATTAACATGTAAACTCGTGAACCTCATTTAAAAATTCGCTAACAATAGTTAATGCATATTGCATCATGAATGCAACAATCGAATGCTATTGTTATATACAGTATATTAGGGCTGTCAAATCGATGAATCGCGAATAATCAGATCTAACATAAAGGTTTGTTTTTATATAATATATATGTGTATATGAATACATATATATATATATATATATATATATATACACACATACATACATATACATAAACACATATAGGGAATACTCTTCATTTTTGAATTCTGATGTAATTGCATTAACAACTGTATATAAACTGTAGAATAATTCTATATAACACACTGGTGGATTTAACATCTAATGTTAAAATATACGTTTTTAATGTAAATGTCAGGGTTATGTCTTTAGATTTTGTTTTTGTTCATGTGTCTTTTTTTATTCATGTTTACCCTTTCAGTTTAGTCTTTGTCGTGCCCTAGTTAGTTTCCTTAGTTACTGATTACGTTCGCCTGTTGTTCATTTAGTTATATTTATATACAACACTAACAGTGTTGGGTAAGTTACTCTAAAAAAGTTATTTATAATTATTTACTAGCTAAATTAATAAATGCTGTAAAAGAAGTTGTTAGTTCAAAAAAGTGTTAACAGCTAATTGATCAACATACCATTTAATTAATTACATTAAAGATTTTGATGAACCGATGATGAAATTTGATACATTTCAGCATTGTCAGTGAAAGGTGAGTCATATCCACAGAAATGGCACATAACTCAAGGGTTTTCTGGGCAATATAGCTTTTTGAGGGCAAAGATTAATCCATTCAGTCTTACTTACGTCTCCGGCTCCTTTGGAGGCTCTGTTTGCGGTTGGTTTGGGGACTTTGTTTGGGGCTGGAGAACGTTATTAACCAGATCAGTGATTCCGCTAAAGGGAAACCACCTGTATGAACAAGCAGACAACGCAACTCAATATCAGGTCAACAAGCCTGCTTCCAGTCGACATACGCCACCAATATCATGACAACAACGGCAGCAGTGCAGCTACATTCATGGGGAACACACATAAAGGGTACAGCATGTACAGCTACAAGAGCTACTAGGACAGAGAGAAAGAAAGAGAGAAAGACAGGGACAGACCAGTCTTGGCCCACGGACCGTCTCATGCATATTGCACAGAAAACCGGCCACTTTTTAATCCTTTCGGAAAATAATCGTGTTTGGAATGTACCAGGTTGCTATAAACGTTTCTGTCATGTCAACTCTCTGAGTGTTTGGCATGGTAATGGATTTCACAATGTTGATGTGTTTGGACTGCTGATGGTGTTATTGCCGCTGCTCCTACAGAGCAAGCATATTGACTTTATACTGCCAATAGTAAACACAGATTCGCTGCTTTGGGCAAGTAAGATATTCTGCTGCAGCACAATATAGCATACATGAATTACCCGTAGCAGATCTCTACAGGTGGAGCTGGGGAAGGGGAAGGGTTTCTGAAAGTGCGCTGCAACTGCTACAGCAAATGCTAACCAAGTATTTGAAGGTTGAGCAGTGAGCTCATTGGCTACTGATACAGCAGGAACCAATCAGCTGTGCCCTACAGAGAATGATGTGATTGCAAGCAGCTCGAGGGACCTGCGCCATCTAGAGTTTCATGACAGAACTTTGTATTTCTGAGGAAGAACAAATCACTGGATATGTCAAAGTGGTCCAGTTTAGTGGCATTATTATTTTGTTGTTGTTGTTGTTGATGTTGTTTTGGCACGTAGCAGTAGGCAAACTAGATATGAGCAAAACTTTATATCCTGCTTTTTTTTAGTTATATCTATGAAATAATATTTATTACTTTTAGACAAAGAGTCTAATTACAAAGTGCAAAAACAATTGCACTATTTTTTAAATATTTTTTTTACTGCACTGGATGAGACCTGAACTGAGCTGGATGATGACATCACTTGTTTTCTGCAGAACTGCTTTATAGCTGAATTTAATATATTTCATATTGATGAGCTTTACACAATTATTGAACTGAACTGAATCAACACTGAACTGACCTCAGCTGAACAATGAAACTATTTTATTTTTAGAGCTGCTTTACAGCAGAAACTCTGTTTGCATCATTAAATCATTATTTTCCTGTTTACCCCTGTCAAGCTGCTTTAAAACAAGCTGTATTGTATAAAGTGCTATATAAATAAAGGTGGCTTGACTTTTCCAGCATTTCTCATTTCTGTCATGGACAGAAAATGCTGTGCAATTTTTATTATTGTGGTAAAAACTAAGTGGGCATTTTGTGGCTGGAATAAGAACGTGGATTTTGCTGAAAGTGAAAAATCTGGCTTTGTGAGACTAGAGAAAGAAGAAAAAGAGAAATACAAAAATGGAGTCCTGATAGATGGGGGGGGGGGGGAGAAGAGGAGACACTCAGCCAGAGAAGGAAGCAAAGAAGCCGGAGTGAGTGAAATGAATTTTGCACCCATCGGCCCGGGATACGGTCAATTGTCGACATATACAGAAAAAGAGATCAAACAGTGTCCATGTGCAACTCACAGAGTCAACAAACAAGCAAAATAAAGCAGGACTGGTGCATCCAGCCTGCATGTGGATGAAGCTGCCAAAAGCTTTTCGAACAGAGCCATAACAGACTGCAGGCAGCCAATCACTAGAGAGAGTAGGGGAAAGAGCTGCCAATCACAGAGGAAGCCACAACAAACGCACACGCGGGAATGTCAAAGCCTTGAGGTCTCTAGCTAAGAGAAGCCCACACAGAATCATTGCCTGGAGAAAAACTGCAGAATTTGAACTGCTAACAAAGTTCTGCCCCTATATTGTTTGTTTACTAAATGCTTTGGCGAATCTGATTATGATTTTAGCCACCAATAAGAATATTCTGCAGCTTTTGCCCCAAAATCAATGCGGAAAATGAGGGAAAAGTCCACAGAATCCGTCTAGGCCTCGCTTAGTGTTACTTACTGGACTGGCTGAGACGTTGCATCTTCTTTGACCCTAAAAATAAATAAAAAAAGTCAACAAAAGAGCATGATGACAACAGAAATAAAAGACAACATAAGACTAACATAATTTAAACCAAATTTAAAAAAAAAAAAAAAAACATGGAAAAACAGTCAAACAAATATCAACACATATGATGTGCAGGACGGTATGACAGCATGTGGATTCAAAGGTGACGCATCCAATTATAATTTTGTCACATGTGTTTTATTATTTTAGGTTTACGGTTGTGAGTCAAAACATTTTTTAACACAGGCAACCTAATATGATTGGTTGGGAATATAACATCTAAAATCTTATATAATATTATCTTTTGATTTGATACACTTATATATATATATATATTTATAAATATTTATATATAATACAAATGATGTATAAATATATTTATACAGTATAAGAATGCAAATATTTCTTAAATATATACATGCATATGTCTGTATTTATATATAAAAAATAATTATACGCAGTACACACACATATTATGTAAACACAAACTTTTATTTTGGATGCGATTAATCGTTGCCCAGCACTAATATATATATATATATATATATATACATATGTGTGTGTGTGTAAATGTATATATATACTGCTTATATATATATATAAGCAGTATATATATACATTTACACACACACACACATATGTATATGTATATATATATATATATATATATATATAATACATACACACCGTATATATACACATCTACATAAACTATATATATATATATATATATATATATATATATATATTAGTGCTGGGCAACGATTAATCACATCAAAAATAAAAGTTTGTGTTTACATAATATGTGTGTGTACTGTGTAATTATTTTGTATATATAAATACAGACATATGCATGTATATATTTAAGAAATATTTGCATTCTTATACAGTTTAAATGTATTTATACATCATTTATATATAAATATCATCATTTATTATAAATATATATTGGTCATACCAACCACCCGCCATTACATGTGAAACAAACTAAATATGCAAATAGATATGACCATGATCATTTTAAACATATACACAAAAAAAGAACATACAAAGACATGGAACACTTAAATATTTTAAATAAAAAGAAACAAATAATAAATAACAGGTAAACAGAAATAAAACAGGGAAATTATCTTTCTGCCCTCCACAGACAAGTCGACAACACAAAGAAAACACACCGTCCACGACAGATAGTCCATCAGACTCAATGTGTTGAGCTTAAAACTATATAAATACATAAATAGAATAAATCCACCACAGCATTACCCTGTAAGAACATATACAAACCACAAGGAAAGAGGGTTAATGAACCCCCTAAAATCAGATAAAACTGCTATGAATGCTGTCCTGAATGCATGGTGTACAGTTTCAGAACATGTTTAGGTAAATCTGGACCCCCTTTATCCCCTGTCAGATCATTTATGCATTTTTCTGTGTGAATTAATGGAGAAAAAAACATCTGAATCTATGGTTAGATTTTCTTTGAAACAGTGTGACACTGCCCTCTAATGGTCAAATGTCTTCTATTAAGGAAAAGATGCCAACCTCTGCAAAAGTGTGGCAGTCTCAGCGTAGCAGGATTATATATATATATATATATATATATATATATATATATATATATATATATATAATAAATATACCATGGATGGCAACCAAGCTGCCTTTGATTTCAGTCACACATTAGGTAACACATTGGGTTGAAGCTAATCCCACAATAACTTGCAGAAAATCTGCACTAGTTAAGCCGTGACTCGCAAGTCTTGCGTGATGTTCTAACCAAATTACCCTCTTTCTGAGCTGTTCTCAGACTGTTAATTTAACCTCAAATGACTGTCCTCGCTCCTCCTCATCCCTCTCTATTCTCTCAGTATCTCGGCGCTCTTGAGTGGAGGTGGAGACACAGGCCTCATTGATGTGACAGCTATAGAATGAGAGCTGACTCATCACTTTAAATAATACACCCCACATCTCACCATCAGAGTCTCAGCACAGTCCTCTTAAAGGAGCATTCATGCTTATTTTCCCTCAGCTCCATCTGTGGCCTTACGTTTTGTAGAAACTAAATGGGAAACGCATCTACTATATCTACAGCACTATTTGTAAAATTCCAAGGTGGTTAAAATTAACCTTCATCAAGTACATAAAAACAAGAACGTTGTTTTAAAAATGTTTCATGAGAACACATCAGATATTAATGATGTTAAAAGAACATTCTGTATGTTATTTAAAGAATGTTTGGTTACACTTTAGTTTATTAACTATGACTTTTGCCTCAATAAACTACTAATTACTGCTTATTAATAGTTAGTATGGTAGTTTTTAAGTTTAGTTATTTTGTAGGATCAAGGGATGTAGAATATGGTCATACAGAATAAGGCATTAATATGTGCTTTATACAAACAGCCAATATCCTAGTAATATGCATGCTAACAAGCAACTATACAAGTGAGAAAACTAAACTAAAGTGTTACCGAACGTTTTGTCTTGACATAACCTTGACAAAACAGTGAAAGTTGTGGGAACATTCCCTGTTAACTGGGTTAAGATGTTAGGTTAAGATGTAGGGCCATATTCAGACTGCCAGCAAAAATAAAAATGTTTGCATATTCAAATTTTATCCAGATGAAAAAAAAAAAACCCACGTGAAATCTGTTTGTTTCTCCATTTATGGAGGTGGTTTGAAATGCGATTCGAATCAGATTTTTACAGATCCGTCTCAGTCTGGACGCTCTGGATGCTCGAATCAGATTTCAAACTGTATTTTCCGTCACTCTTAATGCGACACACAACGGTAACGTCAAAACTGGTGCCGGAATTATTCATACAGAATTCAAATGGTATGGTGGACCAAAGACCCCAACTCCACAGCGCACTTATTTGGAGAGCGAGATGATGCACCTCCATTTCTCCTGA